ATGAGTAAAGAACATACAAATACACACACACACCACCACCAACAACAACAACAACAAAAATAACAAGAATTAACAATCACTTGTCATTAATATCTCTCAACATCAATGGACTCAACTCACCAATAAAATGATAGGCTAAGAGACTGGATACATAAACAGGATCTATTATTTCGCAACATACCAGAAACACACCTCAGCAAAAAAGATAAGAGATTACTTCAGGGTATAGAACTGGAAAATGTTTTCCAAGTTAAAGGACCCAAGAAACAAGCTGGAGTAGCCATTCAAATATCTAATAAAATAGACTTTCAACCGAATATAGTCAGAAGAAATGGGGAAGGATACTTCGTATTCATCCAAGGAAAAATCCATCAAGATAAAGTCTCAATTCTGAACAACTATGCTACAAATGCAAGAGTACCCACACTCATAAAAGAAACTTTACTAAAGCTTAAACTATACATCAAACACAGGAGTTTCTGCCATCATAGAGCCTTATTGGGTGAAGAGGATATAAAGACACAGACATGATGAATAAGTACACTAAATAATCATTTGGAAGGCAGTGGTTAGTTTGAATAACAGAGGAAAGAAAGTTGATGAAGAAAGTACAATGGAAAACTGAGCTGTAATTGTGAATAGAGACACTATCAAGATAAAAATGAAGATTAAAAAGACCTCTGAGAAGATGGCTAGGTGGGCATAGTAATACATGCTAAACAAGAGGATGTACAGCTAAAATGTTTGAGAAATCACAGATTTTATGTCTATGGAGTAGTGTGGGGACTAGAAGGAAAGGAGTGGTAACATAAGTAAATAACAAAGAATCATGGAGGATTGGAGATTTTATTCTTGAAAATACTAACAGTTTTGTAAGGGTTTGAACAAGGAACTTAGGTAATAGAATATGTTTTTTAAGATGTTTTTTAACATCTTAAAAAACATATTGAATTTCAAACACAGAAACAGTTACTAGTTAGGTCAGAAATGTACTTTGAGGTTGAATCAGTGAATATTACCTGATGTTCGGATGTAGTGTAAACTGAAAAGGAAAGTTAGTATAACCTCAATGAATATAATGGAAGAGATAAGATGGATGGATTACTATATCTAAGATAAAAAAAAAAAAGAGGGTAAAGGGAAAATTGTGAGGGAGATGACAAAGCTCAGAAAGTCTGTTTCTGGACATTTATATGGAATCATCAAGTAATAATGTAATAAATTGAATGTACTGGTCTGTAATTTAAAATAGTTCTAAATTGGGAGTAGAACTTTGAAACTGTCAGTACACAGAAGATATTTAAAGTCCTAGAAATAAATTACTTAGTGAAAGAAAATTCTTTAAAAGGAGAATTTGCAATAGCCTATCCAAAGCCCCTTCACACCCTTTTCAGCTAGATGTTCTGCTAGTTTACATGCTCTCCAGGTCTTGGCACCGGGGCCCAGATCAGGTGCACCTATTGGCACTGACTATTTGGCAGGTGCATATCACCAGCCATCAGGAAGTCATGGAGATGGCAGATTTGGCTCTGAGCACTTGAACCAATTATATACACCCCAGTCTTGGCATGTTCTCCAGAACAAAGGCAGGGGGCTGCCAAGTTCTCACCTTGCTAGTGAGAAGACACACCATGACTTGCCTAATGAGGATGCTGCAATCCAAGAACAGTCTTATCAGCTTATGACCAAAAGGGAAAACAATACCAAAAACCTATGCACCTTCAGATATGTTCATTATAAGAAGTCACATGTCCTACCAATAATTAAATACTGACTGCTAATATTTTCAAAAAAAATAAACACCGTAATAAACATGGTCTTGGTAGCAAGGGAAATAACAGAGGAAAGCATAAATAATTTAAGAGTAGAAAAGATGGGAAAGGATCCATGTTCTGAAATACATTACAGTAATGTTGGCTTTACCTACACAGATTTGTGGGATTTAGTGAATTCAAGTTCATGATGGAAAAGGGGAAGAATCCAAAAGCAAGCACTACTGAGGTTCAAAGTGACCCAGAATGGGTGTCTCTAAGTCTAGCAGCCAGCACTGAAAGTACAACATACACATGGACTAACTGTAGCAGAATGTATATTGGCTCTGGCTTAAGGTGGCATCTGGCAAGGAACTCCTGGGTCAACCTTTACCAACTGTCCCTAAAAGTGCCTATGAACAGCCTCAGAAAAACATGAAAATGCAAATTCAAGCCTCCGAGAATAAGTTTTAAAGCTACACAAGAAGCTATGCCCGGAGAAAGGAATAGCAAGTATAAAACTAAAGAGGATGAACTCAAAAGTTTATCTGCTCTGTTTGTGACAGGTACCATGGCATTTCTCACACACTACAGGCCTCCCAGACCTTGGAAAGCAAGGCTGCTGTGACTAGAAAATTGATAAGTTTTCTAACAGTGAGATATCTACCTTTTGAAGTAGCCTGAAAAATGTTTTGTCTCTTCATATCAATGTTAAAAGAAACAAATTTGTAAGCATTCACTCACCTATCCAGAGCTAGGACTGTGTGAGTATGCTTGCACACACACACACACAGACACACACAAAGTCTAGTACTCCAATTCTGCTCACACTTCTTTCCCCTCTGTTTTATTTTGCCTTTAGTCTAGCTCCTACAACACTCTACTATATTAGTGGCTTGGTTTTTGTCCTTTCTTCCTTTTTTATTTTCAGCTATCACATAATTATACCTATTCATAAGGAAGTTTGATATTTTAATACATGATTACCATGCAGAATGATCCAATCAGTGTAATTAGCACATCCATCACCTCATACGCTCATCTTATATTTGTGGTAAAAACATTCAAAATTTTCTCTTCTAGCTATTTTGACATATATAGTAAATTATCATCAACTACACTCTCCTGTGCTACAGAAGACTAGAACTTAATACTCCTGTCTAATTGTAATTTTGTATTAAATTAAAGGGGCCTTGAGAACTGGGACTTGAACTTTGATTGTTCTTTCTATCCTCCCTAATGAGACAGTCACCAAGAATCAAGGCCACATGATACTGAGCCTGAAAAGGCATCACTAACAAGATTAGGCATTAACATGATTGGTGTTTAGGGACCAGTTTCTTAGTCCTAGGAATCAAGAGTGCTTCCTAGACTAAGGCAGATTAGCACAAGAGATACACAGCTAGAAATCACCCTGGTTGCAGTCATTAGACACCTTGTCAAATAAAACTAGTTGCAAGGCTGGACTGAGTATCTCCTGATTTGATTTGATTTAGTGATGATCCACTCCATGTCATAGCCTATGAATAAGGAATAGATGTAAGAATATAGAAGGATACAGAGGTTGGGCCAACCTAGACCTTCAGTAGTTCTTTACTGCTAAATGATAAATTACACACTCCCTAGCCTGCCTCAGGGAGCTCTGAGAGATCTGGTTCTGCCTGTCATTCCTAAGGACTCCTATGGACACATGATTCATTACTTACATTGAAACAGATTCATCCCCAACTAACTTCTGCCCAAAGCACTCAATGACTTTCTCCTCACTGAGAGTGAAAATGAGATGCGTATCATCCTGCTCCATTTCATTCTTGCTACTTGGCACCTACCATCTTCTGCATAGTCGGTGCCTTTCACTGAGCCAGCTCACAGAAGACAGAGCTGTGGATTGAAAGAGATGGGGAACTGTGTGTGAACTCTTCTAAGCTGTTGAAAATCATCAGCATGACTAGTAAGTGGGGCTAGGGAATTTATTGATACAAGGAATTAAAGGAGCCTTGAGAACTGGGACTTGAACTTTGATTGTTTCTTTCATTTTAGCCTATAAATCTATATAAATCTATATACCTTTCCTAGAAATTTCCATCTTCTCGATCTTCAAGGTAGGAGGATGACAGGTGCCACAGGCTGTCACTGAGGAATGTTTATGAAAAGAACCCAGGGCTTGAAGTGTGTGACACTTGGGTGTCATTTTTTAACTCCAAGAGACAGCACCTATGAAAAATATTTTCTGATTTTATTGCCTCTGTGTATAAATAAATAGATATGAGGCAATTTGATTTATTGGGAGAACCATACACCTAGATTAACTGACTTGGTTTCAAATTCTAGCTCTACTATTTAGTGAGGAAGTAAAGTAAAAGGCTATAAAATTGAGATCTTATACTGTATCCTCCAGAGTTATAAGAATCATTGACAAATCAATGGACCATACCTCATTCTCACCTGGGCAATACCATGTATTAAATGAGTATATATATATATATATATATATATATATATATATATATATATCCCTTCTTCCTGCATCAGGGATAATTATCCCTTACCTTAATATGGCATGATTTATTCTAAAGTCTCAAGATAATTTTTCAATTTTTTTCCAAATTTATTATTTTATTTTATTTTATTTTATTTTATTTTATTTTATTTTATTTTATGTGTATGGGTCTTTTGCCTATATGGATATTTAAGTACCATGCATGTGTCTGGTACCTAGGATGCCAGAGTTTATTGGATCCCTAGAACTGGAGCTACACATGGCTGGGAACTGGCTTGTTGGTGCTGGAAATTGAACTCTGTCCTCTAGTGCTTTTAACCACTGAACTATCTTTTCAATCCTAGAAGATCAGTGCTTAACATAAAAATAAATGCATAGTATGCTACAAACTTCTATAAGAAAGTTGCTTTTATTTACTTACTGTTGAATCAAGAAGGTGACTGCTGACATCCATTCATTGGCTACAGCCAAGGATGTTAATTTTCATTCCAGATCCAAAGACGATGTGAAATGCTTTGAATATCATGGGTGCTTTTAGACTTTATGTCTTTTGTACCTTGTATGCTACTTCCAAATTTAATGTGTTAGTGAATGGTGGGGTCTAAAGGATCTGATAAAGTCACAGAGGCTCCTCCTCATGAATACTCAGGAAGCTGGGTTGGTTGCCATGGTGAGTGACTTTGTAATGCAAGCAAATATTATCTCTTTAAGCTCTCTTGATAGTATTCTGTGTTAAAATGCATAAGACCTCTACTGCTAGAAGCATTGCAGGTGTGGCTGCTGTGTCACGTGTGCAGCAATAGGTGGCAGAGAGTACAGAGGCTATGTCTATGCTTGGTGTTCTGACTATGAAGATCTGAGTAGTTAGCAGCCTAGCATTCACTAAAAAAATGATCCTGAGATGACCACCACTCAGGCACCATGCAGGCCCATGGGGGCATGGAGGGACAGACCATGTTGGAGATGATCCCTGCCCTGTGCCATAATGCATGATCCGGCATACCACTTCTGAGACCCTGTCTGAGTCAACCCCAGAATCTCAGAGATCCTGAGCACCATTGAGAGGAGTAATTAAGTGGTGGAGAAATAGAAGAGAAAAGGAAACACAAGAATGTAGATACAATGAGGAAAGGCAGAACTAGAGACTGGAGGGGAGTAAGGAACAGCCTGATGTGAACAGCAGGTGATGCCACCTGGGACCACGGTGGGGTCCAGGCCTATGCTACCACCAGGGGCCATATCTTGGTCTGTGGTCCTCCAATAGCAGAGGTCTTCTAACATAAAAGACCAGGAAGATATCCCTGGTCTGGGCTGCTGCCTGAAAACATGTTGATGTCTACAGGCTGGGCAGAACTGACCCCACCCCTCACCTAGGCATTGTGGGAGAGTTGGCCTAAGTGTCATGAGTGTAATGGAACTGACCCTAACCCTAGCCAGCTGCAGTACTGCAGAGAGTGGCACAGCACATTTCAGGAGTGAGCCAGGACCCTAGAATATGAGTGTGGGAGACCTGGCCCTGACATTCATTTCCTGTGCAATTGTATGGACAAGGGGGAGATACTCTCCTCCGCCCTTGACCCTCGCCACCTGAAGAAAGCTGGAGACATGGCTCTGGGTTCATGAGAAGAGAGCTGTCCCTGCCTCCTCGTTAACTGCAGCGCTTGAGAAAACAAGCCATGAACATCACATGGGCAGCACAGTAGTACTAATTCTGTTTGTGGGGTTTATGAATTAGCCAGGCCCAAAAGTGGGAGTCTGGGAGAATTGGCCCTGCCTCTCTCTTGTCTGCTATGAAGTGGTATCCATGAGGGAGAGATCCTAAATCTTCCCTTTTGCCCCCACTATTTGTGGCAGACAGGAGAGCTGGCCCTGGGGTAATGCGAGTGAAAGAACTGGCCATTTCCCTCTTCACCAGCTGTAATCCTAGGAAGAGTGGGCCCTGAGCCTCACCTGAGTATCACAGTAGAGCTGGGACTTCCTGGTAAGCTTTCCTAGAGGGTATAGGAATAGGAGAAGAAGTGGGCTGACAGCTCAGGTACCTCTCAGACACAGAGCCAGGGCTTTGAATTGGCACACACTAACATCTACTCCATCAGTGAACTGCTGGAGAACATGAATGGGACAGTCCTGTAGATCTAGAATTGTGGATCTCCATGACACAGGCAACAGCAGGATATCTAAGAGGAGTCCCAGTGAGGTTCCAATTTTGATAGAGTAGCAGAACTCAGACGTCTTGTATCAGACCGATGAGTCATTGCAATGAACATTTGCAAGCAAATAACTGTGGACAAAATGGTATGATGTGGGACACACTGTGACACACTGCAGCTTCCATAATGAGATTTTTTTTCTCTGTTGGGATGAGGGGTTGCAAGGATGTAGGGCAGGTATGAGGGAATGGGGAGATGAGTGGGACTGGAGTGCATGATGGGGAATTCACAAGAACCAACTAAAAGGTTGTTTTTTAATGCCATTCCTGTTCTTTTTTAAATTTGTTTCATTCTATAAGCTCATTATAAGTTCAAAGCACCAGTTTCACATGGCCTCACTTTATCATAGAGTGCACCTATGGCTTTCCCTTGGACCTGACCCAGACTGAATGTCTGTTTATTGATCACAAATTTGTCCCAAGCCTATTTCTCTTTGTAGGTTAATTGTGAAAGTTCATTGGATTTATTTTTTTATTACTTTTACTTTTCTGCAGTCCAATCATTATCCACATCCAAGTCTGCCCTCACACAGTTCCTCATCCCATTCCTAGCCCCCCTTCCTGTGTCTAAGAGGATTTCCCCCACCCCCAAACCCCACCATCTTCCTGCCAGGCTTCCCCATTCCCTGGGGCCTCATGTCTCTCTAGGGTTAGGTGCGTCTTCTCTCACTGAGGCCAGACCAGGCAGTCCTCTGCTGTATATATGTCTGGGGCCTCACACCAGCTCGTGTATGCTGCCTGGGTGGTGGCTCAGTGTCTGAGAGACCTCAGAGGTCCATGTTAGTTGAAACTGCTGGTCTTCCTATGGGATCACCCTCCTCCTCAGCTTCTTCCAGCCTTACCCTAATTCAGGAGTTCACAACTTCAATCATTGGTTGGGTATTGTAACAGCCCTTTCCTTTGTAACGACCCATTCCACTACTTTGTAACGGCTGGTTCTTCTGCACCTGTCTGCAGGTCAGGATCTAGCAAGAGAGAGAGTGGGAATGGAGAGATTCGAAAAATGGATACAAGACAGTCTGGTCAAGTCTCTTTTATTGAAAGGAATTCCTGGGTATTTATACCCTTTACCACGTGACTTGCCCTCATGGACAAGCTCAACTGAAGGCACTACACCATGCACCTAGCAGCGTGGAGACCACGTGAGCCTAGCTGCTGCTGGCACTAAACAGCAAAACAACATGTTTATCAGAGTGTGTTCAGCTGTTGTGGGCTGTTGAAAACAAGTCTCTTGTCAGGGAATATGGCTCAAGATGACTGTAAAGATGATAGCTGCTTTAGGCTAAGAGTCGGCTCCCAACAGGGTATAAGTATCTGCATCTGTCTCAGTCAACTGCTTATTTGGTCTCTCAGAAGACAGCCATGCTAGGCTTGTGTCTGTAAGCACACCATAGCATCAGTAATAGTGTCAGGTCTTGCAGCCTTTCCTTGAGATGGATCCCAAGTTGGGGTGGTCACTTGATTTCCTTTCCTTCAGTCACTTCTCCATTGTTGTCCCTGAAGTTCTTTTAGACGAGAACAATTCTGGGTCAGAGTTTTTGAAAGTGGGATGACAGCCTCATCTTTCGACTTGATGCTCTGACTTTCTACTGGAGGTGGACTCTACAAGTTCCCTCTCCCCACACTTGGGCATTTCATCTAAAGTCCCTCCCTTTGAGTCCTGAGACTCTCCCACCTCCCAGGTCTCTGGTACCTTCTAGAAAATCCTCCCATTTCTCACTCCACCCCCACTAAGGTTGCATATTTTCATTCACTCTGCTGGCCCCTCAGGGTTTCTCTCCTGTCCCCAATACCTGATTATATTTTCCTTTCCCCTCTCACAAGGTCCTTCCCTTTCTCTGCCTCCTGGATTGCTTTCTTCTCCCTCCCAAGTGGAACTGAAGCATCCTCAACTACTCAGTCTTAGAGCTTCTGTAATAGCAACACAGACACACACATAAACACACAAATACACACACATTTAAATTTACATATATATGTATATACATTATATATATATATATATATATATATATATATATATATATATATATACACAAATATGTATGTATAATAAAAAGCAACTAAAATAATGGGGATGGATCAGGCATGGTACATAACTTTAGTTTCAGCACTCAGAAGGCAGAGACAGGAGGAGCTCCATGAGCTTAAGACCAGACTTGTCTACATAACAAGTTTCAGGTTAGCCAGGGCTACATAGTGAAACTCTGTCAAAAAAAAAGGAAGAGGAGTGATGGGGGGGTAGGGAAAGGGAGGAAGAAAATGAGAAGAGAGAGGCTCACAGACGTGGTGTGGAAGCTAGAGCATGGATTTACTTCAAGACATTAATGACCTTTGACCATAACCTAGGAGTGATGACAACAGCCTCCTCATTAGCAGGATGCCCTCTCTTTAGTACAGAAAGTTCAGAGAGAAATGCAAATGCAACTCGAATAAGTTTAAGTAAAAGAAACCTCAGGGAGCTGAGACTATAAAAGAAAAGCACATCGCAAGTGCATGGGTTAAAGACCCTGCAAGGTGGCATGTATACACGTCTGCTCAGGTGTCATCCTGTCATAGTGATGCCACCATGCTTGGGCTTAGCAGAGCTTGCCATGTTGAACAAGGCAATGACAATTGTAGCACTTCCCCATCAAGTGCCATTGTCAGAACAAGGACCAGAGAGGTCAATCAGCCACGGGTCTCTCTCAGGCTTGGTGCTGAAAAAAAACAAAGCAGACCTATTCATCCCTTCTGGCTTAGTAAGCCTGTGGTCACTCTACTATTTCCATCTCCTTTCCTCCTACCAAATATGACTATGGCTTCTTTTTTTTTTAATATAAGGCTGTCAGTCTTCTAGTAAGGAGACTTTCAGTTTACCCTGAAATGTGCATCCGTGCTTTAAGTCAGCCTTACCCTCCAAAAGCCTGCTCTCATGAAGCTAGTTACCAGGTAGCTTCTGCATGCTGCATAATCCCTCCCAGTGGGAGTTGAAAGGATATATGTGCATCTAGCCCTTTAACCTGAGGGGAAGTGTAGGCTCAGTAATTCTCTAACATAGCAGGGAAAGGACTGACAAACAGATGTCTAATGTTAAAGTAGAAATTGGAGCATTTTAGGTCCTACCCGAATCTTCCCTAAGACACTCAGACAGCCAAGCATACAGTAATTTGATTACTTCCCGTTCTCAAAGAGGAAGTTAGATCTCATTGAGTGTTGAAAAATTAATCAGGTTTTGAGTGAGCCTGAAGGTGAGTGAGTGCCTTTGCAAGTAGTATATGCACCCTAGAGTTATGTCATGCCCCTCAAATTCAGCCACACTAGGGCTCATTTCCATCTCATAGCTTTAACCAGACATTGTCCTTACCTCAAATATTTTCCCACTGACTTTCTCTCTACATGAAGGACTCCTGATCCTTTGGTTCCAGCTGTTCAGGAAGCCAAGGACCAAGTCGGTCGGTTCGTTCTTAGACCACTCCTCCTTTCCCTCCATAATCCTCATATTCTTGAACAAAGATCTGTCTCCTCTAGTTCATAAAATCTGTAAAATGGAGAAAATAATATTTCTGACAATGAGCACACATTAGCTCTACAATACAGACCTCTTATACATAATTCTGATTTCTGTTACCAACAGCCAAACTATATTACCAAACAGTAAGAGGAAAATTCCAGAACAAAGTTACTCATGA